TGATCTATTTATTAAAAACATAAAAAAAACAATTTAATTTAAAAATAAAAAAATAATTTAATTTAAAAATATAGGAAATGGACGGAATATATCTTTTTAGATTTTTGTATTTAATGGATTAAAAAGAGGATAAAAATATCACCAAAAATAAAAAATAAAAATAAAAGGTAAAACAGTCAAAAATAAAGTCACTTTGTCAATTTGTAACCTATAAAATGGACAAGTGAACCACAGAATAAAAGCCACGTCAGATCCCTGGGTGTACTTTTTGACACGTGCCATAATAATAATAAATCTAAAAAAAATGCCCTAAAAAAGCTCTAGCCATATAGCCGTTTAGCCGGAGACTCTTGTCTTAACTCATGACTGCCTCAGTGCCAACTAAGACTTAATCAAAAAGCCAACACAATCGCAACCCCCAACCCCTATAAAGCTCACACCAGTCGTCCCATCTCCATACTCAAATCATCTTCATTGCTCTCTTTTTCACATATTCTCTGGTGTTTCCGGTGGTTGTGACCCTCAATTTCTGTTCATTTTTCTTGGTCAATTTTCTAAAGAAGCTTTTGATTTTGATCTTTTCTTGCACACAAAAGCTTTTTCACGAACTTGTTATAAAGATTTTCTAGAAATGGCGGAAGGAAGGATTACTATGTTGATGCAGGATGTAATTAATAAGGTGAAGGAGATATCTGAAATCTCCGGTTATATATCTGTTGTGAGGAAGCCATTCTTTAGCCTTGCTGGAAGGTTAACGATTATGATTCCGTTTTTCCAAGAGATACGTGATGTCACAAAGCATGCTTCTCGTAACTTGTATGAGGCCATGACTTCACTGTTGGATCACTTGGAAGCCACAAAGAAGTTGCTTCAACAGGGAAGTAAAGGCAGCAAGATCTATGTGGTATATTTTTCTGTCAATCAAATTTAAGCATCGGTTTCAGTATTGTTTACTGTTTTCAAGTCTTGACATCTTCACAAATTGTGTTAGAATTGGAAGAAAAATGGAACTCGATCTATTAATTTATGGAACTTCAATCAAAGCTGATTTAAAAGAAATGGATATTAAGAATATTGAAATGCATAATTTCCTGCATGATATTCTCTCCTTGTTTTCCTCTCAATCACGAGATACTGTGAATATTTTCTTGCTTTGTATATTGTTTC